CCGTAATTTGTATTCGACCTCAGACTGTTGCTCTACCAGACGCTCGATCACCTCTTGAGCTTTGTCTTCCACCTCTTTAAATAGTTCCTGTTTCTTCGCTTCAAAGACTTTCATTAAATTGTCAATAAAACTCTGCGCGCTTTTCTTCACGCAAGCGACCTGTTCTTGAATTTCATTGCACTCACTTTGTAGTCTGGTGATCGTATTTCTCATCTCAAGAGCCTTTTCTTTCTGAGTTTCCATCGCGGACTGTAGAGTTGACTTTCGTTCACTGGCAACATTCTGGAGAAGCAACTTAGCGTGACCCTCGTGGAGTGTTATAGCACAAGTATTGCAAATGGCGTTTTCACAGTTTTTACAAAAGAACTTCAGCTCTTCGCTTTCGTGATGTTCTATTTGGCAAAATACTGGCCTTTTTAACACGTCTTGAATGTCTTGATCCTGAAATTCCTTAATCGCTAGCACCCGGTGGTCTTTATTGGCTCGGATAATGTTATGAGCTGCAATGCAATCGTCGCACCAGAATGCGCAACATTTAAAGCAATAGAAACTTTGGGCACTTGTTTTGTCGCAGTTTCCACACTTCACTCCCGCGACGTTACATTTTTGAATAGCCATTACATCCAACAAACTGTTCATTCGAAAGTTGGCCGGCAAGTCTTTAGGATAACCACTTCCAGGAACTTGAAACTTTCTACGACATTCCGGGCATGTAATCTCGCCATGTTTGCCACTTGTTCGTTGAAGCTCGTTCAAACAATGAAGGCAAAATGTATGAAAGCACGGCAATATTTTTGGTTTAGTGAACGGGCTCATACACACAGAACAGGATACCTCCTCATGTAGGTTGTGTAATAAGGTTTGTAAATCCATAACTGAGTTTGTAGATCTGGTAAGAGACCACGGTTCCAGTGATTGCCGGCGCCCCAGAGTCTTTTAGTAAGATTCGGATCATATTTTCGAGCACCCATCAGTTATCCCTCGGGCTACCGACGTCAACCAATCATGAAGCATTGTTTGACATGTTTTGACGATGCCCAACTTCTGAGAACAACTTCCGATTTTTCTAGGAATTAAGATTAAAGCCCTTGACCTAAAGTGAAAGAATATATATGTTGGGATGTTTTGAATTAGTATCGGCTAGATGAAAAAGACTATGAAACAATTGGAGCTCATTTAACTCTGCTGACTTAATAGCCCCTATGCATGATTACGTCAGACGAGTAAATTTCACCAACAAGCCTCGTCTGTGAACAAAATTTTTTGCATTTGCACTTTTTGTGCGTGGGTATTCTTTTCAACTCTACTGCCTTGGGAATTCATTTCTGTGAAACTTCGCTTATTTTTAATTTCAAAACGAGGCTTGGTGGTGAAATTTGCTTGTGTGACGTAAACATGCATAAGGGCTATTGAAACGCAAACTCGGAACCGATCAAGGGTCAACAAGACTTAAATATTTCTTAGGCTTTGTCCCAGATGTTCTGATAAGAAAAATGAAAATGGGGCTCGAAAATGTAGTAGTTTGTGGCACAGAAATGACAAAAGCATTTATTATGTCCTTAATCCTTTTGTTTTGATTGGCTTCTTGAGCGAACCGAGATGAACCACTCTTGGTCCCTCGAGATGGATCCTCAAGACCTCAAGACAAAATTAATCTTTTCGGTCAAATAAAAAATCCGTTATTGACCGAGTTTTTTCGATCAAGATGGCTGAATAATGGCCTCGTTCTCTTTTGCGTTTTTATTGCCTTCCACTTGGTTTCTGAATCCATAAAAAACTCACGTGGCTAATGTCTATCCATCCTGATCTCACGCTTGGTCAATAATTCATATTTAAATATGTCTATGTTGCTTCGTGTTATACTTATGAAAGGAGATCATGACGAGAAGTTTTAAAGTAAATTTGACCCCCTTTAACGGGTGATAAGAAATAAGAAGTACAGCCAACGCTGACTGTTCTAAAATCATCGGTTATCCCCAGCCTTAAAAGTGACGTCATCAGACTCAGTCCTCACCTGCCCAGAGCGCGCAGACATTCGTTCACTCGGGTATGTCTCATTTCGGGTGTTCCTCAGGTGGGAACTGTGAAGCAGCTTTTTTAGGTAAAAACCATTCTATGAACAGTACCTACGATTTATCTTGAGAACTGGTTTTGAACAAGTTCTTTAATTTGCGGCGGACAGGGCGAAAAAGGGAGAAGCCGGAGGAAGAAAAAATAAGGGAAGGGGGGGGACCCCTTTCCTATTTTTTTTCTGGGCAAGATTTTCTCGCCCCTTTCCTAATTTTCCCTCAATTTTCTCGTCTTAACCAGCTCGAAAGGTCTGTTCGCAGGCTATAAAGGAAACAAGACTAAGGGGCTGGTCAAAAAGTATAGGGGGGGTGGACCGGAGCAGAGAGGGGGTGGGTCATGAGGTTTTGAGCCTTGTGCAAGGGGTGGGTCGTGCAATTTGCAGCTACCCTTAGGGGGTGGGTCACCCTATTTTATTACATAGATAAGCACTAACTACTAACGCGACAGTTGACCACACTTGTTATATAAAACACAGCCAGCTGGAATTATTGCTAAAATACTCACAAACCTGTTGTGCGACAGACCGCGCATCCCGAGAACCCTTTGTTATTAAACCTTTTTTTGTTTTTGGCTCTAACGAGCATGTCCTTTAATGATTTTCCCTTTTTGTAAGGAAATGATTGGTGGTTCTTTAAAAATTTATTAAAGTTCTGGTTGGCTTTGTATAAGATTCCGTTTTTATTATTCAAGCTTCCTTTATAGTAGACGCTGAGGGTTGGTATTGTGTCACAAATGGCAATAAATCTTTTTCTTTCTTGTAGGTTTTGTTTTAGGAGTTTAGACACGTTTTTGTGAATGTTATTTCTGATAGTAGGTCTTCTATCAAAGTTTGTGGGTAGCCTCCGTCCATCAAGCGTTTTTTGAATTATTTTCCTCAAAGGTTGTTTCTGAGGAGCTTTTTCGTAGGATTCTCAAGACTTCTCCTTTGACAAATCCTTTTTTAACATTTGGAGGGTGACACGAGGTGAAATGTGTGTGCAAGAAGGTTTCCGTTTGTTTAAAATGTGTCTTTGCATCAAGGATAGAGTTTTCTAGAATCTTGTGCCTTTGTATACAACCGTGTCTAAAAACACTGCATCTCAGTGTCAAATGTTTCGGCCATGAATTTAATAGTTGAGTGATGTAAGTTTGCTTGTTCCATGAAGGCTTCGATGTCTCATGGTTTACTCATGTCCCATAGGGAAAAGACATCGTGTATGTAGCATTTCCAAACTGTTGTTCTAAAGGAAGGTTTTGCTTAGAGTTGTTGTTTCAATATATGTCATAAAAATATTGGCAAAGGAATCAAAACTGCTGTCTTTGTGCCCATTACAGTTCCATGGTTTTGTAGGTAGTGCTTTTCATTGAAGTGGGAGAAATTTTCTTTGAGGATTAATCTAAGAATTTCCGGCAAGTAATGTGTAGGAATGGGTTGTCTTTGTAGAAATTTTCATATGCGTTGTGACATGCAATTTCAATATACCCTCGTTTTGCTGTATATTTGTGTCAAGACTCATAACGTCCATCGAAACAAGAAATGTTCGGTTTTTCACATTTGTCTTTTCAGTGAAAGGTATGACTTCTGTGATTTTGATATTGGTTGTAGCAGTGTATCAACAAATTTTGTCAAGCACAGAACAAGGTTAGGCCATCCCCTTTTTTCTCTCCGTTTACCGTCGTCCGACCGACCCGAATTTTAGGCATTTTTTTAAAAAAGTAACGACATAGTTACATCATTTTTCACTTGAAATAATTCTTTTAATCTGAAAAATGAGCATAGTAACAGCACAGAGAAAAACAAGAACAAAAACATGAACATTTTTCACAGTATATCTTACATTTTGTTAATCCAAATATGTGAATGTTAACTTTTAAAGTCGTCCTGGGGTACCAGGGCCTACTATTCCAAGACTTCTTTTGATTTTTTTTAAGTTTTTTTTTTTCAATCCGACCGACCGACCCAATATCAGGAGACGCATTCGACGGTAAAGGAAGAGAAAAAAGGGGATGGCCTTAGAGGAAACCAAACATCCATGTTTTAACTAGGGGGTGGGTCACGCAATTTCCAACCTTGCTTTAGGGGTGGGTCAGTCATTTTTTTGCCGAAGGGAGGGGGTGGGTCATGTGTTTTTTATCAACCCCATTTCCAAATGCTCCGGCCCACCCCCCCCCCCCCTATACTTTTTGACCAGTCCCTAAACCTGGCAAAAAATTATTAAACTGCGCGCTGAATATCTAGCCCGAGTTCAGCCTTTTTTAAATAAAGTTATGCAAAGTCATATAAGTCAAACCGTGCGTTTAAGATAATTCAGTTTTATAAATCAATTCAATCTTACGAAGAATCCCTCTAAACAAAGATGGTACAATGTAAGTTCAGGGTGAAAATAATAAGTGTTATATTCAAAATACACGTTTGTCTTCACTGTGCTATGTCCTGGCCTGTCAGCAGCTTTTGCCAAGGGAGGAGGGAGTAGGTGCACATCATTTCAAATTCCCGAGTTCAACTCAAGCCTGCCTTGGGGGTAGCAAAGAATTTTAGTTCTTCTCTCGCAGTCGAGGATCGGTTCGCGTACAAGCCAATAAAACCCCTCTAGGAAACAAATAACTGATTGCTCACTGGATTTGTTTCCAGACAGCACCGAGATCAGCGACTCCTTGGCCACGCTTGTAAATGGCATATTACTTACAGTATCATTATTTTAACGTTCGTCACTTCGTCCAAACACTGTTCAGTTTGCCAGAACTCTTCGTTCAAGTGGTTTGATCCTAGGTTTTCTCTCTGTTCCTGAACCCAAATAGACAATTGATCCCGTTGTTTCTTCTTACGACTAGAAAAAAGTGTAGAATACGTGAATAACACGAAAGCGATTTTGAATCTCACTTTGGTTCTACTAGAAGTAAAATAAGAGCGAACGTAATCACATAATCAAAGGTATTTTGATATAAAAAAGATGGTCATCATCAATTGTTACCTACGATTACCCGAAAGGTTTCATCACGGGTACCTCCTGATATTACAACTGCTAGAGGAGTCTCTAAAGGGTGTGGCTACACTGATAGTGCCCACCATCACTCGAACCATGGCCATCCTAAATTATGGAACGATCTTCCCCTTTTTATTAGAAATATATCTTCAGTTAATGCTTTCAAGAAGGCTCTTAAAACTCATTTATTTCAGAAGGCGTTTCCCAGATAATTTATTGTTTTTATTCTCTTTATTAAGAAGGATTTGTATATAGGATTTTAAAGATTAATTTTTATTTTTAAATTGTTATTTTTACTAATTTTCAGGAACGATCTGTAAATAAGACTTTCAGAATATGTGCTAGGATTTTAGGATTTTGTTGAGTCAATGTTATGCGCAGATGAAAATTTCTTTCCCTGGATTGATATTTGCGCAATACAAATCAATAAATATTATTATTATTATTGTTAGTGATTCGGCGTGTTTGGTGACGTCAGCGAAGATGGATCAGATGTGTTCGACACTGTTACGCAACTGGATGATGAAATAAGTAAGGTGTTATCGTAGCTAGGGGCTCACCTGTGGTTGCCTGCTTTTGTTTGAGACGTTTACAAGGCTTCCATAGTTAAGTATTCCAGTAAAGTATCCGAAAAGTCACCCGTAACGAATTAACCGTGCGCATTAGTAAAACTAAAGGAGTACAGGGAAATCCTTTACTCTCAGTAACAAACCCTATATAAATGAAACTACGAATCAAGAGAAACCTCCAGACTGAACTTTCGCCAAATAAATATGGGGTCAAATAAGCGCAACTTAGATGATGATGAGGATGATGATGATGATGACGATAAATTAAACATTTTCTAAAGAAAATACATCAGCCAGTTTACAGTATATTGACGAACTAATAGCCCTCTACGATTCATAAGAACCACTCTCCATCCTAATAAAGAAACATTTCAACGTACAGTCAACTCCCCTTATAGCAGACACTCTAGGGACCTTGAATTAGTGTCCTCATTAGCGAGGGTCCGTAATAGCGAGAGCTTATATCAGTTAAACGTCTGTTAGTTAGTTTTGCCCTGGATTTAGCTGCTGTCCGTATTATTAGGGTATCCGTTATAGCGGGGTGTTCGCAAGGCGAGAGTTCACTGGACTGAGTCCCGAATCTGGGGTTTTTATATCCGGGTTGTTACTGAACTGTTACAGCCTCGTTCTTTTGGTCCTTAAAGTAAAAACACTCTTCTACATAACCCAACGCTAAATAGCAAACGACAACTCGATTGGTCGAAACATTTGACTGAAATAACAATTTTCTTTTAGAAATAAATGAAATAAACGTTCACGACTGTCGGTTTTATTCATTTGCCTTTAAGAATTCTCCGCACTTAGGTCAAGAGAGACTTAGCAGGTGGAAAGAGTGAAGGCAACACAAAGCAAACAGTTGAGTCCAAATGTTAATGGGACAGAAAGAAGCCAACAGCAAAAAGATATAAATGGCGACCTTAAAAACAACTGCAGAATAAACAAAAGGAGTCTGAAGTAGCACAGGAAATGGTTCAACTCCTAAGAAAAAGAGAGAAAAACCTGACTGACGGGTAAAAAAAGAAGTCTGTAAATTCATGGGATATTACAGTCATGGAAGAAAGTCAGCAACAACTATCTTACAGGACCAGGTGCAGAGACAGTTGAAAAAAGGCGGGAAATTTGAGGACCTGTCAGCACGTGAGTGTCGGCCGCTCTGGTAGAACGTTATGACAACCTCTACACCCAGTGGAGGCTAGACGCCATGGACGAGCTTATTGTTCTCGGTTTTGGTGGTAAGTACCATAATCTTCATTTGCATTTACGGTAGTGATTCGTTCAAAAAAGTTGTTATAATCTACTTAAAATGAGAAAAAAGGCCAGTGAGAACCCCTAAAGAGTCTGCTTGAGGAATTTTTTTCAGGGAAAAAGCAACTTTTTGTGAGGACGAGCGATTGGTAGGGCGAATGATTAGTGTACCGCAGCTAAGAGTCACAGACGCTTCTCGGTCGGCCAAGAGACATTTGCGACTTTGAAAAAAATCGCTACGGTGACCACGTGATCCATAGTACGGCGGTCGTGGATGCAGATTCCAGGGGAGAGTACGTTAGCCTGCGTTGCAAGTGTTTCCGTGCGGTTTCGAAGTTCGTTCCATTTTTTGCTTGGCCAAAACCGAAAATCCCGTTACTAGTCTTCCCTCGGTCTTTCTTTGCTCCAAAACCTCACGAAAGCGCTTGCTACGCAGGCTATAGCCGACCAAATTTCAACTTTAAGCAACCGGAGTCGAAACAGTGACTGCAGCGTTTCTCTCTCACTTGCTTTCGCTGTTAGTAAGTCGAAATGACCTCCTTTAGAGAAGCAAGAGATAACACTTTTCTCTCTTACGATCCAAGATTAACAGTGACGAGGAGTGTTTGTTGCTGTATGATCCGTTCAAGCCTCAAAATCTGGATTTTACGTACGAGTTGTACACAGCATTTGACCTTGGTTGAGGAAAAGAAATTTTAAACTGAGAAAACGCAAGGAAGACGTAATTCCTGGAAAACTAGAAGTGTCAAATACTTTCTTTGCTAAAGTGAAAAACAATCTATGATAGGTTTTAAACCCAATGATTGTAAAAAATAGGAGAGAAGTCAACTTTTATAATCACGTAGCAGCGACTACGCCATGAAGACAGGTCCTCACGTTGAAGGATTTGGCGCTACGGTGAAGTCATTGTGCATGCGCACTGCGTCATTTTTTTGGACTTTTTTACTTTCGGTCGCCGTAACGATTTGCCTTAAGTCCCTACTCATGCACAGAACTATTTCTCAATCTCCATGGGTAAGAGCATGTATCCCATCATACTCCGTGGGGTCTCTTTAGAAACAACGCCTTTAACTCAAGCCAAGGATATTAAAAGTGTTTGTGTCGATTCCTGTAGGTGCATACCGCACTAGTACAACACTCACTGACAGAAAAGCAAACTAAGCTCAAGAAAATCCTAGATATCCCGGATTACGACAATATAGGAGCGAACGCGCAGGAAATGGAAGACCGCATTGCCGACTGACTATTTAAGGATAACGGGCGCACGATTTAAAATTGACAGTATCAAACAGGTGCGCTGAGAACTTAAGTGAATATTTTAATGAATGCCGAAAAAGTTGATGATTATTGTGGTTAATTTGTTGAGGGTGAACGCAAACAATTAATCCTTTCCAAATAGCTGTGAAAGCATCCTTAAGCAATTGATTATTCAAGCTGGATTTAAGATGTAGATTGTTTTGTGCAATTTAAAGCAATGTCGACGGAGACAACCCCAAGCAGTATTGACCGAAATCCTGAAGATATAAACTCAATCTATACATTTTGTCTGACTTAGAAAAGTTGTATTTCTATATGGACAGAATAAAAAGTTTCGACAGCGGGACACGCGGGTACAGTCAGCTGTTTTCTTTCCGAGAGACCACGTGACATTGCTTTAACCCCATCATTTCGTACATGCGTAAAACGGTGGCGAATAACTTCATAAGGAGGTTTTTAACATTTCTTATCTTTTTGGATTTAAAGGATGTAAGCAAACAGCTATGGAGCACCTTGTACGATTTTCCAGAATTACAAAACTGTGTGAAGTTAACAGAATACATGGATGAATGCGTTCGCTTGTCATGGATGCTGGCAGTCCAAGTTCCACCAATGAGCATTGAATACGAAGCCACAGAGTTCTCAGAGAAACTTCATGGACGGTTCATGACGTCTGACATGACGTCTCTTGGAATAAAGTATCACGTGTGGCCGGCTTTGATCGACTCGAAAGTCGGTGTTGTGCTTTATAGGGGAACTGTAGTGACATGAATTAAATTTATTTCACCGGGACTGGTTCAATAAAATAAAGACTAGTTCAACAATAATTATTTAATTGAAATGTTCGCGAACGAACATGACCTGTAACTGCTGGTCTTCCGGTGCCAGCGGGATCTTAAGCGGGATTTCTCTATGTTATTTCGAGCATGCGCACGGGATATAAATATTCCCAAGTGTTTTGTTAACCCGTTTTGTTAAGGTTTTTCCTCGCGTTTATCGATTTCTTTGGCTGTAATTCTAATCGATACATGTGATGGTCTTTTTGTGGCGCACTTGCGAATCATTCAGGGACGCTTCGTGTATGATTAAACGTTTAAGTTGTTGTTTTATCGTGATGGATGTCAAGGTGTGCCACCATTCGCCGCTAGAAATCCTTTTTCATTATTGTGCATGTGTGAGTTTTTTTGCAAAAGCGCTTTTGTGTTGAAGGCAGAGCTGCGAGAAAAACGGGGAAAACGGTCAAGTTCACATCCCTGCGGCCTGATTTTTCCTCGAGGGTTTCAGCGAAAAGCTTTACCGCACCCTAGATAGCCTGCATACACTCTAGATGCCACGTACTGCGCAACCTATTAAAATGATGTCTTTTGTGACAGTCTATCACGTGGTCGGCAAAGTGCCTGTAAGGGGGGAATTGTGTTCTCTTCTTTTGGTTTCTTGAAGAACGTCAGGGGCCTGAGCTGCATAAAAACTAGTGTTGGACGTAAAAGGTTGACGACTAACGTCAACCTCAAATCAAATTCTGTACTTTAACGCCAAAAAGATGGCAGCCTTTTTTACGGCGTCTGAAGTGGTCCTAGAGGCGTGAATAGTAATGAATAAAGCGCTGTTGCTGCTACAGCTACTTTCTTGGAGGGATTGGAGACATGCTCAGGAACAGTGTTTCCCAGGAACTACGAAGCGGTAGAACGTTTAGCGCGTATTTGTCAGAGGGGGTTGAAAATATTTCCTTATGAAGAAATGATAACAGTATGATAATAGACTTTTGAGTCAGCGGCATAGAAGCAAAGTTTTGCGCGAGCAGTATCTAACCGCTATCTACCGCCACCGCCACCGCCACCGCCACCCCCCCCTCAACTCCTGGTTGTAACTCCAACATGTAGCTAAGCTATTCCTCGAATAAAAGGCCACGAGAGATATCCCTCACAAACTCCCAACACACGAGCTTAATCGCAAACTAAGATAAGATGAGCTACTGCTAAGAGAAAAATGCATTTAATCCTTCATGAAATACTTGACTCGTTTTTTATCGTTGAATCAGCCATAAGGTAGACTCAATAATCCCGAGGTCCCACGGATGTGCATCCGGGCTCGACTGTTGTGTTTTAAAACACTCCTTAGTTGAAAGGATGTTCGTCAGGCCAAGTCTTCCGTTTTCCTTTGGCTTCCCTCTCTCATTTGTTTACTCGCCTTATCCCTAAACAAAGGGTTAGTAACGCTATCATCAGTAGCCTCGCTAGAATTAGATTCAGCATGTTCCGCATACAGGTGTCAAGTGAAAATCAATTTGTATATGTTTTAGTTAATTTTTTATCTCAGGTAATTTTTATTTTTCCTTTGTTTCAACTTTATAAGCATACATTACCATACCCAAAAACAAAAGAGAAACAAAAATTACCTGAGATAAAAAAGTTAACTACAACATATATGTTGAATAAACAAATTCGGAAATCCAGGAAAGGTTGTTATACAGACACCAGAACTTGTTTCTCGCGAAATTCAAGGAACTGTTGTCGTAGACGGATTATGCCCTTTAGCAGATATACGAGCAGTCTTATTTTTTCGAAGTCATAGGGTGGCATCCATCAAATGCCCATTTTCCCGTTACGTCAGCTTGTTATGAAGCTCTCGTTTTTCATCTCTCGTGGCCTTGACGCTCATTGCGTGCCTGGTAAGCACGATATAAGACCATCTTTGAAGAAAAATAATTGACCTCTCGCGACGACTTCTCTCATAAACTAGCAAATAATCTCGTGAAGAACATGTCAAGTGTGTAAATAATTATCGTATGGAGGGTTTTCTTAACGATAAAAAATAGGGTGAAGTAAAGTATGAACCAAACTAAAAGGTAACATCGATGTTTACAAACTGGCTCAAAGAAGACTAAAACTACAGTAGCTCGATTCACAGCCTAAAAACCTTGAGCACTTCTGGAAAGAACACGACCACAATTACCGGCATGCATTGCAAAAGGTTGTTATAAAAAAAACGCCATGCAGAAAAATAAGACAATAATAAAATTTACCAAATACTTTTTTCAATCGCAGGGAGTTGAATAACCAACCTATCCTACGTTACTATATTAATTTAGTATCAAAGGTATTTATTTAATTATCTGAATGCAACTGTCTCTATAACAAGACACTACTATCCTACCATCAGACAGAATTGCGGTAGAGACTGGTAATCCCCCACTCCTTAGTTTAAACTTTGTTATGAACTTTCCATTTAATTCCAACACCTGAACTCTGTTATTTCCATAATCACATACCATCAGGTGCCCTGCCTTGTCAACTGACAAGAAACGGGGATTATTGAATTCCCCATCCCCTTTCCCTTCATTCCCGAATTTATACAGAAAATCACCGTCTGTATTAAACACTTTTATACTGTGATCATCATCATCTGATACTATGAAAAATTGATCCTTCTGAATACAGTGAAGGGGATAAATTAATAAATCTTCTCCGCCAAACTTTCTAAGAAACTGGCCGCTTGGAGTGAAGATCTTGATCAATTTGTTATCTGAATCAGCAACAATAATATTACCATCACTGTCTACAGATAAACCCCATGGATAATTAAACTGATGATCAAGATTTCCATCACCTCCAATTTGAGTAAGGTAGTCCCCCTGCCCAGTGAATATTTGCAGTCGGTTGTTTTCACTGTCAGCTACTACAATGTTCCCATTATTTAAATAAGCTATACCAGTAGGTTGAAAAAACTCTCCCTCTTGATCACCCTTACTGCCAAAAGACCTTAAGTGAGTTCCATCACTACTAAATATCTGAACCCGCTGATTTCTAATATCAGTTACTGCAATTTCATTACGTTCATTCACCGCCACACCACAAGGTCTATCAAACATTCCAGCAGATGACCCTTTTCCTCCAAATGACAACACAGGTTTGAATTGTCTGGGTTTGACTTGAACAGTGAATGGACTGCCACTAACATGTTCTCCATTTATCATCACTGATGTGTGGCATGTTCCTGCTTCTTTGGCAAAGTAGTTGATATTGTAGCTGCCATCTTTGTTATCTTGGACTTGCGTTTCAGTGGCACATTCACGGCCGTCATCATTTCTGTTTTCCACTGTAACGATATCACACTGTTCGTAGCATTGTTCATTCTCAGCGTTTCGTGTTGTTAAAACAAACTGTGCCTCAAGTCCAACAGTCACGTCAAAGATTCCTTCCCCTTCCGCTTTTGAGTTGCTGGATTTAGTCTGACTGATGATTTGTTTCAAAGAACCAACACCGTCACTGTTTGCTTTTGCCATCAATGATTTGTTTGCAAAAAATACAAAGTGGCAAAGATCCTTACGGTCACAGACGACTAGTTCTGCCTCGTCAGTGACTTCCTCTTGAAATAATGTGTTATTAAAGTGCACAATCTCAGCATTAGTGCTACGCTTTAGGAAAGTTTCGGTTTTTTCAATTGAAGTCTCAATCCGCTGTAATTCGTTTTCTACGTCCGACTGTTGCTCTACAAGACGCTCGATGGACTGTTGAGCTTTGTCGTCCACCTCTTTAAAAATTTCTTGTTTCTTCGCTTCAATGACTCTCATCAAATTGTCAACCAGATTCTGTGCGCTTTTTTTCACGCAAGCGACCTGTTCTTTAATTTCATTGCACTCACTTTGTAGTCTAGTTATCATATTTCTTTTCCGAAGCGCCTTCACCTTCTGAGACTCTAACACGGACTCCAAACGTAATTTTCGTTCATTGGCAGCATCTTGCAAAGGCACTTTGACGTGACCTTCGTGAAGTGTTACAACACAAGTGTTACAAATGGCAACTTCACAGTCCTTGCAAAAGAACTTTAGCTTTTTGTTTTCATGATGTTCCTTTTGGCAAAATACTGGCCTCCTTAACACGTCTTCAATGTCTTGATCTTGAAAATCCTTAATCGCCAGCACTTTGTGGTCTTTATTGACTCGGATAATGTTATGAGCTGCAATGCAATCGTCGCACCAGAAGGCGCAACATTTAAAGCAATAGAAACTTTGGGCGCTTGTTTTTTCGCAGTTTCCACACTTCACTCCAGCGATGTTGCATTTTTGAATAGCCATGACATCCGACAAACTATTCATTCGAAAATTGGCCGGCAAGTCTTCAGGATATCCACTTCCAGTAACTTGGAACGTTCTGCCACATTCCGGGCAGGTAATCTCGCCAAGTTTGCCATTCGTTCGCTGAAGCTCGTTCAAACAACGAAGGCAAAATGTATGAAAACACGGCAATATTTTTGGATCAGTGAACGGGCTCATACACACAGAACAGGATACTTCTTCATGTAGGTTGTGTAGTAAGGTTTGTAAATCCATAACCGAATCTGCAAAGTTGGCAAAGGGAATCAACAAGGTTTGAGCGCCCCCAAAGGGTTGAAGTATAAATATATTGATCATATTTTCGAAGAGGATATCATGTTAATTCCCCCTTTGTCCCTCAGGCAACAGACAACATGGACCAATCATAAGGCATTGTTTAACATGTTTTCTGAGAAAGGACTTCCGATTTTTCTAGGAATTGAGATTAAAGCCCTTGACCCCCAAATGTCGGGATGCCTTGAAAATTGTTGCTATCAATAACTAAAAAAAAAAAAGTAACTATTAGCTAAATTGCGCAGTTTTCCTAATTTTCCCTCTACTCGATTTTCTAATAAATGGCTGAATACCGAGCACAGGTTTAGCCCTGCTTTTAATAAATTATATTAAGTCCAACCAGGCGTTTAAGATAATTATTTACTATTTAATATATCTTTTCAAACTTACAAAGAATGTATCGATGCAAGGATTGTACGATGTTAAGTTCGGAGTGACTAATTACAAGAACATAATTTAAATATTCAAAATACAATGTCCTAGCCTCTCAGCAGCATTTCCACCCCCACCCTTCTCCCCTGCAAATAAACTGGGGGTCGCGCATTAAAAGCGGTGTTCGCAACACGAGGGTTTCCCAGTTAACACTTAACTGTAGTGAACTTTATTTCTATAGCTGCGAGGACATGGGCATGTTCAAGTTGAGAGCCAAAAACGATGTCCACCACCAAAAGGAGTAAGACAGACAAAAACGTCCTTTAACAGTTCTTTCCTATCTATTCTCGGTTTTCACATGACGTCACCAAAATTCAAACTAAGAAACTATCGATTCTTCTGAGTTTCTGAGTTTCATGAGGTATTACAGCACCAAAACACCTTTATTTAAAAAGAGTTTTGGTTCGAAAGGGTTCTTCGTTTTGCGATAGAGGACGTTTGAATTTCTAGGCTTTTGCGTGACGCGGCATTTAGCTGGCGGCCACAACGGCTCTTATGTGGGTTAAAAACATTACCAATTTTGGGAGATTTTGCTGTCTAAACATTCTTTGTCTCAGAATAAATATCACTTTAATAGTTTATGAGTTTTTCAAGCGATGAATTAACGCATTAGTAGGAAAAATCAAAAACAGATGTTTCTGTTGGTTTCCGGCGGCCATATTTGTGCCCCGCAAAGGGACACAAACATGGCGTCGCCATACAAAGCTTTGTAAATTTGGGTAAAACGTTTTTCCTAATATCTCGCATATGAAATATCGCACAGACCTGATTCTTGGCGAGGCCTTTTGCTTATTTATCTTCTTTTATTTCCTAGATTCGGGACTTTCTGTATTGAATGGTTTGCAATTTTATTTTTGATTGCGTGACAGTGAAAACCGAGAATACCTGCCAATTGTTCCCGCCGTACAGACCACAAGAAAAGACGTCCTCGCCAATTCTGTTGCGAACGTCTGCGACAGATGACCCGCTCCATCGACCGGCCACCAGAAAGGAAACCCACCACAATTAATCTCCTTGTGAATGAGCGTTTATCTCAGTACGATTGCTGACCTGATATAAGCGGCGACTAGCTAGGTAAAAGATCCTAATGCAGATTTGTAAATAAGTTCGCGGATGCATACTGCTACTTCTTCAACAAGTGGTCGATTTTGTTTTATTCTTTGCGCCATCTCTGTAACTTCTTCGTTCAACTAGATAAAAAACAAACCACATTCTAAGTGATGACAATCAATGTTTAATCATCTCAATTCAGTTACCCAAATGCATGAGTGAAAATGTCGCTCTTCCGAACAAAACAACAACTAAGTCATGACATTTTAAAAGAAAAAAAAATAACGTCTTCGAATAATGCAATGGAAAAGGGGCCAGGCAAACGTGATCACAAACAACGCATTTTGATTAAAAAATAGTCATTGTCGCTTGTTACCTACGATTAGCAGTTCTTTTTTGGCTTTTGTAGGGAGCGCTGATAGTAGACAATATCATTTGTCACTATCGTACTTATAATATGACCATCATTCATGATAATCGTCATCATCATCATCATCGAACAATAACAACAAAACTTCATCAACCATCGCTGGTTGTTCACTCACCTGTAAGCCATGTTTTAAAATTCTTGAAACTCTTACAGTGTATTTTTCATGGCAGCAATTCGTTCCTGAAGATTTCCTTGCTATCTTTGCTGATCAAACAATTGATTCCCTAGGGTCTTCTCTCGTTCCCTTCTTCGGTTCCCGACCCTCGCCTATACTAGAACTGTGCAGTAATGGAGTTGTTTTTAAATTGCAATATGTTAAGTTAAAATCACCGCAGATGTAACATATTTTCTCATTTCTAGTTAATTTGGATAATGGTTCATCAAATTTTTCCAAGAAAGTTAATTTATTTTCATTATTCAAACAAATCTCTACGAATAGTGATTTAAAAACACTTGTATCATGTGACTTATGCTCCGTCAAGATTTTAAAGCTCAAATCTTGGTCAGAATACATGCCAACCCCTCCCCCGACGACCGGCTCTGTCGCTACGGTGATTGCTAACAAATTTATACCCTGGCAGATAAGTTCACTACAATCTGAGCTTCGTATCCAAGCTTCGGTTATGGAAACTACCGAAAATTATGCTCCATGGCAGCAAGCATATGGGAAACATTTTCGTTTTTCTTTACTATTAGCAGTATGATGACAATAGAGTTTTGAGTTAGCGGCGTAGTAGCAAAGTTTTGCGCAAGCAGTATCTAACCTCTCCCCAACACCCCCCCCCTGCTCCTGGTGGTAGCTCCTACCTATTCCTCGCTTAAGAAGGCAACGTGAGATATGCTTCACAAACTCCCAACACAAGGGTCTAATGTTCGTTAGGCCAAATCATCCGTTTTCCTTCGGCTGGCATTCCTCTTTGGTTTATTCGCCTTATCCCTTAATGGAGGGTTAGTAAGGCTATCATCAGTAGCCTCGGTAGAATCAGATTCAGCATGCGTGGCATAGAGGTGTCAAAAAAAAATCAATAGGTACATGTTGATTATACAAAATCCGAAATCCAACAAGGGTTGTTACACAGACAACAGAGCCTGTTTCTCACGAAATACAAATTGAACAGTTTCTGCAGTCGGCTTCTACTCTTTTAGCATACTACAAGCAGTCTCCAAGCCAGTGAAATAACATCGGTAACATGCCCCCCGGGGGCAATCAACGGAACTATGATCCGCTCGCGTGGTATGCACTACAATCAACTCTCGCCTTGGGGACACCCTGACAATACGGACAGCAGCTAAATCCCCTCTTAAAATATATTAGAGATGTTTGATTGCAATACACTTCAGCTATTAGCGGGGCTCCCACGCGCGCGAAGCGCGCGTGGGAAAGAGCCCCATACCCATAGATTATGGTCAACCTCTTTTCCTTTGGTTGTCACGTGATTGACCGAGCGTAAGTACGTACGTACGATTTTTAGAGACACTTTAATACTTGTCTTCCTGAATGAAAATTGTCGTCTCTGTATATGTTTCACCGAATTATATTTCTTTTATTGATTGTTAGTACTCTCTCTTGTAATTTTAATCGTTGTGCCGATTGTTTTCAGTCGTTCAGTAAACAACGCTGCCCGGAGTACTCAAAATGCCGCGCGTTAAACCGTTTTGAAATAAAAAAATAAACATAATAAATTCTTTATTATGTTGGAGCGTAACTCTGTTAATGTTCATTCAAACACTCGCCACTGCTAGCACTGTAAAAGTCAGAACCGGCCTGCCGTAGAGATGATTTTGAAATTTTTTTCAACGGTTTACGGCTAAAGCCCACGTGTGCTTCGATCGTCCTGAATAACAATTTGTATCGCAATATTGTGAAATACTGCATTCTGTTGTCCGAGGTCTGTATGATAGAAACAGTGCCTCATAGTACTGTTTCACCTCAGATGTGATGTATAAATGATATAATAGGTTGGTTTACACGCACCCAGATTTGTTGGCAAGATTTTGTAAAATAAACTTGTCGAACGCAAAAAATTCGGCCGGAATTTTTTTTCCAGGCCTAATTAATCTACGGTGATCAAGAGCCAATATGGCTCTTAATAAATGTGATCGAAGATGATTGCCAGTTTTTGAGTGTACTTATGAGGCTATCAACTCGATGTGAGATTTGGTTCACTCTTGGGCTGTTTGCAAATTGTGTTTTGTAAAATCACTTAGCCTTTCCCTGAAAAGTCACACGAATGTGCTCTAAAGTTAACTGAATTGTGGAATACAAGTTTATTATTTGATTTAAATTATAAATTTATTAATGGGAGCCTCGCTTTTAGCCCTGGCTAAATCTATATATTACGGATTCTCGCTAATGAGGTCACTCTGACTCAAGGTCCCCACAGTCTCCGCTATAAAGGAAGTTGATTGTATATCAGACTATCTTTGAAAGACAAATAGACTAAGAGATCTAACTACGAGATAAACTATGTATACTAAATAATCTCAAGAAGAACAAGTGTGTAAATAACTGTGGTATGGTTTTATTGCTGATAACAAATTAGGGATGTTATGAAATAAAGTGTATACAATATTGCAGGTATTGACCGGCGCATCCTAAGTTATCAATTTTATAGGGTATTTATTCAATTATCTTGATGCAGTCGTCACAATAATTAGACACTAGTACTATCCTACCATCAGTCAGGACAGCGGTATAGATTGGTCCAACATAATTTTCAATCCTATCGCTCATAAGTCCAAACTCTGTAATGAACTCTCCACTCAGTTCCAATATCTGAACTCTGTCATTCGCGGAATCACAGACCATAAGGTGCCCTGCTTTGTCGACTGACAAGTAATGGGGCCGATCGAATTCCTCATACCCGTCCCCTTCATTCCCGAATTTATACAGAAAATCACCGTCTGTATTAAACACTTTGATACAGTGATCACCGTTGTCTGATACAATGAAATACAACTAATAATCTTCACCAAACTTCCTTAGAAACTGGCCGCTTGGATTGAAGATCTTGATTAATTTGTTATCTGCATCAGTAACAATAATATTACCATCCCTGTCTACCGATAAACCCCATGGATAATTAAACTGATGATCAAGATTTCCTTCACCACCAATCTGAGTAAGGTACTGCCCCCGCTCAGTGAATATTTGCCGTCGGTTGTTAATACTGTCAGCTACTACAATTTTTCCATTATTTAAATAAGCTATACCAGTAGGGTAATCAAACTCTCCCTCTTGATCACCCTCACTGCCAAAAGACCTTAAGTAAGTTCCATCACTACTAAATATCTGAACCCGACAATTTGTCATATCAGTTACTGCAACTTCATTACGTTCATTCACCGCCACACCCCAAGGGCCATCAAACATTCCAGCGGATGACCCTTTTCCTCCAAATGACAACACAGTTTTGTACTGCCTGGGTTTAACTTGAACAGTGAATGGACTGTTACTAACATGTTCTCCATTTACCATCACTGATGTGTGGAATCTTCCTGCTTCTTTGGCAAAGTACCTGATATTGCAGCTGCCATCTTTGTTATCTTGGACTTGTGCTTCAGTGGCGCATTCAGGGCCGTCATTATTTCTGATTTCCACTGTAACGATGTCACATTGTTCGCAGCATTGTTCATTCTTAGCATTTCGTGTTGTTAAAACAAACTGTGCTTCAAGTCCAACAGTCACCTCAGTGATTCCTTTTCCTTCAGCTTTTGAGTTGCTGGATTTAGTCTGGCTGATGATTTGTTTCAAAGAACCAACACCTTCACTGTTTGCTTTAGCCATCAATGATTTGTTTGCAAAGAACACAAAGTGGCCAAGATCCTTACGGTCGCGGTCGACTAGTTCTGCCTCGCCAGTGACATCCTCCTGGAATACTGTGTTAAAGTGCACAATCTCAGCATTTGTGCTTCGCATTAAAAATCTTTCTGTTTCTTTAATTGATGTCTCGATCCGCCATAATTCTTTTTCTACGTCCGACTGTTGCTCTACAAGACGCTCGATGGACTGTTGAGCTTTGACTTCCACTTCTTTAAAAAGTTCCTGTTTCTTCGCTTCAATGACTCTCGTTAAATTGTCAACCAAATTCTGTGCCCTTTTTTTCACGCAAGCGACCTGTTCTTGAATTTCATTGCACTCACTTTTTAGTCTAGTTATCATATTTCTTTTCCGAAGCTCCTTCTCCTTCTGAGACTCTAACAGGGACTCCAAACGTAATTTTCGTTCATTGGCAGCATCTTGCAAAGGTACTTTGTTGTTCATTGGAAAGTTGGCCGGTAAGTCTTTAGGAACTTGAAACTTTCTGCGACATTCCGGGCACGTGATCTCGCCATGTTTGCCACTCGTTCTTTGAAGCTCGTTTAAACAATGATGGCAAAATGTATGAAAGCACGGCAATATTTGGATCAGTGAACGGGCTCATACACACAGAACAGGATACTTCTTCATTTAGGTTGTGTAATAAGGTTTGTAAATCCATAACCGAATTTGCAAAGCTGGCAAAGAGAATTAACAAGATTTGAGTGAATGCATCGCGAAGTGTTGTAATCAGGGATTGATCATATTTTCGGCGAGGTTTTTATCGTGTACTAATTGCCCCTTTGCCCCTCAGGCCAAAGACAACACCAACCAATCATGAGGTATTGTTTGACATGTTTTGACTATGCATAACGTCTAAGAAAGGACTTCCAATTTTTCTAGGAATTGAGATTAAAAGCCTTGACCCCCAGGAGGGGAGGACAAAACATGAAGCAGGCGTCCATGGACCCCCATTTTGGACCGGGTCCATGGACCACTTATACGGACCGGGTCCATGCCCCCCTCAAAAAACATAAACTAGAAATACGTTTTCGCAAAAATCTCGCGAAGCTAACAGGGTCAGCAGTGAGAATAAACAGTAAAAAGCCAAAGGGTAAAAAAAACGATGAAAGAAAACAAAATGGAGGTAGCCACGCCGGGATTTGAACCAGCACCCCAACTGCCTCCAGCGAAAAAAATGCGGTTTCTGACCACTCGGCCACGTAACCACTACAGCAACCTCCTTTTGAAGTATCCTTCTCTGCCATTCACACTGTTTGAACCTTATGGAGCTGTATTTATCATGAATTCAAAGAAACAGTTTGAGGAGAAATAGCTCAAACGAGTATTTCAAAACCATTTTGCACTATTTCCGTGTTTATTCACTCTCGGGCTTTATATAGGCCGCTCGATTAACGAACTGGCCTTCTTCTTCGTTGGTCTCGCTGAAGTTCAGGTCACCGTTCTTTCGGTGTTAAACCGTCGACGGCAAGGATTTCCAGCCACTTCTCTAATCAGGCACTGTTGTGTTTGCAACCCGCTGTTATTTGCCTCAGAAATAGTTTGCGATTCGCCAACGTTCAATAAACAGAGGATGAATAAAATGAGCTCAAATCGCTGGACGTGTTACCTGGAAACCCACAGTGCACGATGACGTCATGTTAAATGGCGTCTTTGTGATTTGTTTATGGCTTGTTGCTAGGCAACTGCGGATACCAAACCGATAGAAAGATTTATGACAAAAGCGAAAATCGCAGTTCGCTTCCTATCCTCGCGTGATCCGCGCGCTGCGCGCGCGACAAAATTATAAACTCGCTCCGCGAGAATGAAATAATTTCAATTTCGACATTTTTTGGCACTATAGTAGAACCCCGCTTTCCAGACACCCACTTAATATGGACACCCGTACATAGTGGACAGTTTCGAAAAATCTCATAACCTCACCCAGGAAGTGAAAGAGTTTGTCGGGATGTCTTGAATATTGTTGCTATCAATAACTGACTAGTAATGAACATTAGTTAAGATGCACCGTTTTCCTAATTTTCCTTCTGCTAGATTTTCTCATCTTAAACAAACCGGGAGTCTGTTCACAGGCTATTAAGAAAACAAAACTTAACCTGGAAAAAAAAAAATGGTTGGATATCCAGCACGGCTTAAGCCTTATGTTTTAATAAAGTTATATAAAGTCAAACCCAGCGTTTAAGATAATTATATAATATTTAATATACCTTTCCAAACTTACAGAGAATGCATCCGTATAAGGGTTGTACGATGTAAGTTCAGAGTGACTAATTACAAGAACATAATTTAAATATTTAAAATACACGTTGGCCTTCACTGTGCAATGTCCTAGCCTCTCAGCAGTACTCGTCCAATGAGGAGGGAGTGGGTGGAGTGGGGTGGGGTAGGTTTCTTGGCATTTCTCCCCTCCAAAAAAACTGGGGGTCACGCATTGAAGGCGGCGTTCGTAACAGAAGGATTTCCAGTTCATCAGTTAACAATGGAGAATTCATCTTCTATAGCTTCGAGGGCTTGGGCTGTGAGCATGTTCAAGCTAAGAGCCAAAAACAATGTTCACCACCAAAAGGAGTCAGAACTGGCAAAAGAAAAAAAAAAACGTCCTTTCCAGTTCTTTCCTATCTATGCCTGCCCATTGTTCCCGCCATTGTACCAGAAAAGATGAACACGCCAATTCGGTAGCGAACGTCTGCGACAGATGACACGCTCCATCGACCGGCAACCAGACAGGAAACCCCGCACAATAAATCTCCTTGAGCGTTTATCTCAGTACATTTCAGTGCATTGCTGACCTAGCCTGATATAAGCGGCGACTAACTAGGTAAAAGATCCAAATGCAGATTTGTGAATAAGTTCGCGGATGCATGCTGCTGCTTCTTCAACAAGTGGTCGATTTTGTTTTATTCTTTGCGCCATCTCTGTAACTTCTTCGTTCAACTAAATAAAAAACAAAACACATTCTCAGTTATGACAATCAATGTTTAACCATCTCAATATACCCAAACGCAGTGAAAATGTCGTTCATCCGAACAAAACAATAAAAAAGTCATGATATTTTCAAACAAAAAAGAACATTCATGGAAAAGGAAGCAGCATCGCCGAGCGGCCCAAGCGCTGCACTTGCACATCATCCCAAATTCCCGAGTTCAAATGAAGCCTGCCCTGGTTGACAAAGAATTTTATTTCTTCTTTCGCAGTCGCGAGTCGGTTCGCGTACAAGCTAACAAAATCCCTCTAGGTAACCAACGCACTGATTGCTCACTGGATTTGTATCTAGACAGTACCAAGATCAACTCCTTGGCTACGTTTGAAAATGGCATAATACTTACAGTATCACTATTTTAACGTTCGTTACCTCGTCCAAACACTGTTCAGTTTGCCAGAACTCTTCGTCCAAGTGATTTGATCCTAGGTTTTCTCTCTGCTCCTGAACCCAAATGGACAATTGATCCCGCTGTTTCTTCTTACGACTAGAAAAAATTGTAGAATGCGTGAATTACCCGAAAATGATTTTGAATCTCACTTTGGTTATACTAGAAGTAAGATAAAGCGCAAACGTAATCACAAAATTCAAGGCACTTTGATATAAAAATAGTCATCATGAATGGTTACCTGCAATTAGCAGTATTTTCTTTAGTGATAGGGAGTGCATGATAGTAGACAATGTCGTTTGTCACTATCGTACCCATAGTATGACTATGATCATCATCATCATCGAACAAGAAACAACAAAACTTCATCAACCATCGCTAGTTGTTCACTCACCTGTAAGCCGTCTTTAATTCTTGAAATTCGTGCAGTGTATTCTTCATGGCAGCAATTCGTTCCTGAAGATTACCTTGATCTCTTTGCTGATCAAACAGTTGATTCCCTACTGTCTTCTCTCGCACCTTCTTCGGCTTCCGACCCTCACCCACCTGTTTTCCATCAGATGTATCCTCATCTCTTTCCTCTCCTTCACCTTCCGAATTTTCCTCTTCTCCTTCCTTGTCCATCTCTTCTTCCATTTTGCCATCTTCCATGTCCACCATTTCTCCATGCTCCTCCTCTTCCTTGCAGCACTCCACACTGCTGTTATCTTCTCTATCTTCATCCTCCTCCAAACCTCTACTTGATAACGACGCTTCTGAGGAAGGACTAAACCCCATTTGATTTTGACTGTCTGGGGAGGTGTGCAGTGTAGATGCAGGATGGGAGGAGTTAGAAGCTCGTACCACAGTTTCGTAAGGCAAAGAAGACTTCCTTGAAGTTTCTCTACCGCGAACAGGTAAAATGAAGGATGAGGGAGGCATTAACATAGGTCCTTTGTGGACGCCTCGTTCCCTTTCCGTGGAGACAAATGATTTGAAAGACGTCTTTTTAACTGGTCTGAAAGTTGCCTTTGGAAAAATAATGTTCCCTTCCACTAAAAACAGCTTTCGTTGAGTCTAAAAATAAAAATAAAAAACAAGCAAACAAAAACGGAAAGAATGACAAGTCACTCCAGTGGGTTAAATCAGTCTTTGTGCATGAACTGTGTATCAGAGCAGTCATTTAAGCCTAAGGTATATTCGCAAGTATAGTATCATAATAAGGCCATTGTACTCAGAGGGTCTTCGGGAATCTTTCCTCTGATCGGGTTGATTAGGGATTTCAGGCTGATGCAAAGCGACCTTACAGGATCTGAGACTATGTGTTCTTTTAAATATAGCTTAATGCAAATATTACACACAATTTTAAAAAATACTGATAAGGGCTAATTTTTCCAAATTGTGTTTCGTCTGCAGTTCAAGAAAACAAAGATGAGAAAAAAGGCAACATTTAAAAATTCTGACCATGCGTGTCTCTAACAGTTTGTCTTGACTCTAGTATAGCAAGAAGAGATTCCTCCCCTGAAGATGAGGGAAACACGATCGACTCTTCCCGAGGGGTCCTCTGGTGGGGATGAATATTGCTTCTCATTTGATCACACGGGCATTTGATCACATAGTTGAAACTGGTTTGGGTGGAATGGTCGGTGGTACATTTAAAATAGAGCGGGCTGTAAAGCATTAAAAATCCTCCCTACAAAGATTGGTCGACGTCTTGTTAAAGATACCGGATAATCACGCCGAATTACCCTTATCTTGCAAGGTAGATATAGATTAAAAATCATTTCAGTACATGAGAAAACTGTCGAGGAGAGCTATCGAGGACAAACTATCGATTTATCAATCTCTACTGGCTGCGGTGCAGGATAGTTAAAGGGACAAACTATTGATAAACGGGTTGATAGACAGGTTAGGAACATGCATTAACCACGATAAAAGCACTATTCTGTATAATAAACCGAAGAACAGATGGGAAACAGTGACCTTGTAAATGGTGCAGAGGAGTGACATCAGATTTTAAAAAGTATTACCACTACTCGAGAGGTTTCATCACCGGTGCCACCTGGTCAATTACAACTGTTAGAGGAGTCGCTAAAGGGCGTGGCTACACTGAAGTTACCCACTATCACTCGCACCATGGCCAAGGATTCTGAGCCTGATGACGTCAGCGAAGATGGATCAGATGTGCTCGATACTGTTACGCAACTGGATGATGAAACAGGTAAGGTCTTATCTCAGGGGCTCACCTAAGGTTGCCTGATTTGCCCTGGCGTTTACTTGGCTTTCATAGTCAGGTTCTGGTCCAGAAAGGCCAGGTATCCGACAAATCACCCGTAGCGAACCATCCGAAAGTAATAGTGCGACTAACGAAGTAGGGAAGCCCTTTGGGTACAGTAACAACCAGCAGATTAAAAAAACGAACCAAGAAGTA